AGTCTTTTATAATTACAACAAAAATGACTATTACTTGCTGTTTGTAATGTGCTAGGTGACATGGTGAATACAAAGAGCCCTTCTTCTCAAGGAGATAATACAGACACAAATAAAATAAAAGGCAGAATAGGTGAATGGTACACAAGTCAAAGTGACAAAGTGACGAATGATCCCTATGAGTTATTGATGTGATCAAATACTTCAAAACAGATGGTAAACTGAAGAGGATGGACATAGGTATTCCAGGGATTAACAAAGAGTAAGGAAAAGCCACTGTCAAAAATTAGTGGGAAAGAGTATGGGGACGGAGTCTTTATAGAATGGACAGGGGCAGGTGAGACCAGAGGGAAAAAGATCAATCTAGAGTACAGAGGTAGAACAGGACAGGGATTACAGGTTCCCACTCTATGGAGAAAATGAAGCTTCTGTACATACAGAACTAAGCCCACAAGGATCAACACTGGACAGAACTAGGGGTGGGCATTCAATGGGAGATACCTAAGGTAATGAGTGAGGCAAGGGCTCCAGTGAAGCAGAGAAGGACAAAGGATCTACCGAACCCTACAAGTGGCAATGGCAGCTTCCAGTTCCATGTGAGGCTAACAATGAGTAAGAGCTCAGTGTGTGAGAAGAAAAAGAAATGCAGGGATGGGGCTCACTGGGAATTGGGGAAAGGGTATGAAGGGAATCAAGCTAATTGGCAATGTTTTAGAATAGAGTGGATTTGGCTGTTCTACAGGACAGGTGGGAGGCCTGTGATAAGGGTGGAATAGCTCTTGGTTTAAGAAAACAGAATATTTTCCAATTTGATCCCCTACAAATTAAGGGCAAAATTAAAGCCTCATTGGGCAACCATGCATTTGTCACAGAAACAAGAGGCACTCCACATAAAAGTATGCTGGGGGAAAGGATGCTTAGGGTCTGGTTTAAAGGAAATGGAACAAAGATGTATACCACTGCAGTAACTGGCAGGCAGAGTGGCGGAATGCAGAAGTCTTAGAGCCTTGATGCACAGTGGCAGATCAAGAAAACTTTATGAGCTTAAGAAACTTGGGGCAGTGAATTATTTCCAGCTGGTGTCCCACATTCACACAAATCATGTCCTGAAAGAGTATTTGGGGGTAGCTGTGCCAACTCTGGACAGATAATGTTTGGTTTGTTTGTTTTTTTTAGATGCAAATGAATCAAAGGTAAAAATATCTGTAAAATAATTAGTAATACAGAGTTGAATCTCAGGAAAACTAAGGATTGAAAGCAGAGATTTACGGTGGAAAGGTAGAAGTGACAGCAGTAAGTTACCAAGAAAGGAAAGGTAAAGAAGCAAGAAGAGCTGAGGGAAAAAAGACAATGAAAAAGAGAAGCAGCCAAAAAGGAAGAAAAATATGCTAAGTTTGACAGAAGCTGAGGAGAATAGTTCAAAAGTGTGTGACAACAATGTCAAATACTCTGAAGAAGTTGTGGAGTATTAAGAGTGGGAAAAAAGTGAATAAATGTGGTGGTAAGTACATGACATACTTTTTAGAGGTGCACTGTTAGTTTGGTAGGTGAGGATGACACCCAAATTAAAAGGTTAAAAAAACTGAACCACAAATAAGCTAGTAACAAACACTTTTTACAACTGTTTGTTCGTGGTAAGAGGAAGACAAGAAATAAGGAAAGTAGGACGTAGGGACAAATTGCTCTCATCTTAGAAAAAAAGTACCTGAAAATGTTTAAGCAGAGGGAGCATGGGAGGGAGAGGAGATCAGGTTGCATGTTAACTCGATAACATTGTGGAGGAACTAGAGGAGATAAAGGACAGTGTTAATTCTGGAGAAACGAAACGTGTTTGATTTCTGAGATCAATGTCTAGATTAAAGTAACAGGAAGAAAAATTGACATTGGAAAGATTAAGAGAAAAGATGGCTCCCAACTAAGTTATTAGTGGGTCAGATTTAACAACTGAGAAACTAAAAATCTTTAAAGTACTGAAAAAGGTTTAAATAAACATTGTAGGTAAAAATATAGAAGTATTTAAAAATAAAACAATAGGACCCAGTCTAAGTTAAAGATCATGAAGTCAGAGCTGATTGCATCAAGCACCGTAATCTAGAATTGAGTGTCAAATTCAGAAGATGACATTCAAGTCTCACTTTGGCCTTTTATGCCAGGTAAGCATGACTAAAGGTGTAAAGGATTCTAGGACAAAAAACAAACCAGCAATCAAGCCAGGTGACCCTGAGGGTGAGGTTAACTATTAAGTTAGATGGCTGCTGCTGGACAGGAAGGAGTCAAAGCCCTGAAAGTTACAGAGTAACAGGAATTCAAAGGAAATGAACAATGTATTTGATGAGAGTGAACTAGTACTGTGGTAAGAAAGGGGACGTCATAATTTAAAAGCTGATGTTGAGGTGCTGACACTGACGAAGTCAAAGTTCCATGAGGTTAGGCTGATCATCAAGAAGGGAAAAATGTGTGAGAAATGCGCTGAAGCCATCAAGAAAGATGGGAGAATCCTTGAAAGTAGTAGTTCAAAATGACCAGAAAGTACACAAAGGTCATGTTATGATCTGTAGGAAAGTCACTTTTATTAGCTATAGATTAATTCTAACTTAAAAAAAAAATGGAACAACCACACTTTGAGTATCAACCTGATTTATATCTAAAAAATTTTTGACTGTTTTTAAAAAAAGTCCATCCTGAAAGACACTCTTATTAATGAGATACAAATGAAAGTAATATGGGCTATGAAGGGTTTCTCTGCGTGGAGTAAATACTAGGTATTCAAATAATCTGAGTTGAATGGATTAACGATGAAGAATTCAAACATAGGCATAGTGCCTTGAATAGTCTCTCATTTCACTGAATAAATGTACAGATAGACGGCTTGATGAATGAATGGACAGATAGACAGATGGACTACAGAGAAAGAGAGACAGAGACAGAAAGAAACAGACACAATAAAATTCCTTACATCACTGGAAATCCTGGAGTCTCTCAGTGACTGCTTTGAATAACACTCATGAGATTATATGCATTGGTTAGGTAAATGTATTTAAAACATTTAACTTTTTATCTTTAAAAGTAACCATTTTTGAAAGTTTGATAGGAAAAATTCCCATTGGAAAACTATTTCCCTAACAAGACTATGCTAATTTCATTCGTCCAACTGTTTTTATAATTTTTGTCCCAGTAATTTTATGAGTTACTATGCTGGAAAACAGTATCAGACATTATCCTACAAGTTCCCTAATACTAGATGCTTTTAGCTCCTTGAAGAGAAAAATTGGCTTCTGGTAGGACAGTTATCAGTAGGATATTCAGGTAAATATCTAGTAGGATAGCTATTATTTTCAAAAACAAACTTGCTGAACTATAATTTTAATTGATAATTATAGATGTTTAACTCATCTTACCTCATCATATGATTTACATAGGCTTTGCTACAGCTAGTGTTGTATCTGCAAAAACTACAGTGAACATATGTAGGAAAGTGGTTTGCAAAATCTTTTATTTCCGAACAACACTCAATGCACTTTTGAACTCCCCGACGATACCTTATGGAGACACAAAGAAAAGATAAAAATGTATTTTAAAACAAAAACAATAAGGGAGCACCTTATTAATGTTCTGTTAAAGGCAAGGTGTTAAAATTAACATCTTTAAACAGAGACTTATAATTTAACAACAGCTATGGAACAACAGCTAGAGTAAGTATAAGTAATCTAATATAATTTAACATTTCTCACTGGTATAAAAGGGATTAAATTAAGCAATTCAAACATTACCAGATGTAAACACAACCTATAATACCAGTATAATAGATTCATATTATAGAAAAAACATAGTAATTCATGTTCTGTTCAACAGTTGTAAAATAACTTATTATTTTCTTGGACTTATGTCACAAGTGATAGCATATAAATGTACAAGAGGGTTGAGTAATAGGGTAAATTTATATTAAAGTTTTTATACTTAAGATTAAACTAGTAGTGTATATGAGGAATAAAGATTACCTTAAGTTCCTCAATGCTGTATTGACTTTACTTTTTTTTTTGCTACTAGCCAATGTGCTTTGTTTCTTTTGCATTTTAGAGATTTTTGATTTGTATTTAGATTTGCTTCCATTAGGCTTACTTGCATTAGGTTTACTTGCATTGGATTTAATTATATTAGGTTTACTTGTGTTAGATTTTGTGGGATTTTTAGCAGTTATATTTTTAGTCCTTGGAGGTGAGAGCTGAAGAGTAGAAGTGCTTGCACTAATGGAAGGTGTAGTTGAAGATCCTGACTGAAGAGGTCCAACTGAAGCTCGAATAGTAACCTACAAAAATGAAGATAATATTTGCTTTAGGAAATTAATCATTGCATTAGTATTAAAATATCACTATATAACAAAAAGTTAAACATCAACTATTTGGAAAGGGCAAGTATAAACTAAAAATTGACTAAGTTTTCCATTTATTCTATATGTTCATACCAATTAAACAAAATTAAACTTGATATTTATTCACTCGTAATACTACATTTTTATATTGATATCAGTGATATGTTATTGATAACAGTTATTAATGGATAATTAGGAGTTAATGCAAATTATATGAATATTAAAAGAGCACATTCCACACTATTATACGCTCTGGTATGACTAAAAAAATTCACAAACATAAGGTGAAACTTTAAATCTCGAAGTCTGAAAAATAACTCCAAAAAGACCTGCTTTACCCTTCAACAACTATAGGAACAAACAGATCTATACAGTAGATGTGACCTCCTTTTACTAGGTGCTCATTGGGAAGGATTTACATTTACAAAGTTTATAGGAGGGGATATAGCAATTCATTATACTGTATTGAAAGTTTAATAATATTTAGAATTTCCTTAAATGGAACTAATATAAAGCTTACCACTCATTATTCAGAAATTACATTTGTTGGTTGACAATGAAATATAATTGCCTACCAACATTCTTGCTAATCATTTGACTATACCCACACCACCATGTACTTGAAAAACAGCCTATAAAGAAGTCCTACGAAGTAATGTGCTTTGACAGCACACAAAATATTGAACTAGCAATCAAAAGACCTGAGGCTAAATTTCATACTACTCCTTCCTAGGCATGTGACCTTGAGTAAGTAACTTCTCTTCTCTAAGCTTCTTTATCTATATAACAAGGGGTAAAATCTGCCTTGCCTCCATCTCTAGATTGCTATACAGATTAAATAATAGAATGTATGAAAAGCATACTGAAAAGCTAATTCTAAGGTATTATAAAAACATTTAGTATCATTATTATTAATATTACTGTTATGATTAATAAGGGAAAATATGAGAGAGGACTGCACTGCTTACATTAGTGTTCTGCATGTCTAGTCCCAGCATAGAATGAATGGATTGCAGGGAAGGATGCTGGATAGCTTCTCTTGCTCTAGGTCTTCAGAGCATGGCTTTATATTGTTTTAGTTAATTCAAATAACAGACATACCCACATTCAAAGGTAAGTACCCAAAGCCAAATATAAATGTTTTGGGGATTATTTCACTTTGGATTATCCATGCCTCTGTTTCCCTCCACTGGAGCAAATATTCAAGAGCTGACTGTATATAAAGAAGTCAGAGAAAACAGAGGTATATAAGGCAAAAAGGGAAAAATAAATTACAATCATCAGTATGCAGTCAGACATGTGTTTGCTCACTTAAAACATAATGCTATCCAGCAGCAGAACTTGCTTCTCTGAAAGCAGACTCAGTAATAACATCTTCAGTAAACATCTGAGAACCTATGGCATTCGAGACTATACCAGATGCTGAGAACACAAAGATAAATAAGACATGATTCCTGATCTCAAGCATCTTACAGTTTAGCAGATAAAATGGACATATACTGCCAACTGCAATAGGTCAAAACTAGCCTATGTAATATTAACAAAACCCATTGACCCAGGGAACAGTTCATCTCATTGAACTCTTACAGAGGAATACCCTCTAACATAGCATACACCACTGAATGGTTAGACGGTTTTTCTCTGAACATATGATAAAACCTGAAATTAAAGTCTAAAGAAAAATCAGAAATCATTTTGTAAAGTATTATATTTATCAGATAAAACCAAGCAGGAGTTAATTTATATATTACCATACAAATACATTAAAATACAACTCATTTGAACTCACTTTTGTTCCAGGAGGCAATCCTTCTAGCTGTTTAGGTTTTATAAATGTTCGATGATGCTGACTTTTGTGATCCATTTTCTCTTTGCATGTCAAAAATTGCAGCCTGCATTTTGTACAACGATGTATTCCTTTTTTCTGTTTAGAAAACAGAAAAAGGGAGAAAAAATTGTTTCAATGACCACAAATCCTTTGTTCTCAAACTGCTGATTTAGTTTTAATGATGCCTAAATAATTTTAAAACTAGTATTTTACATCACAAATAAAAGCAAAATATTATTTTTAAAAAACATTATTTATACTAATATTTGGGTTTCAAAACTGTCTGTTACTCTAAAGAATTGAACACAAGTTTTATCAGTAAGTTCTAATGGAAGTTCTCTAAATAGTGGTGTAACACTTTAATTACAAAATATTCAGACACATGACACTATGAAAAGGAGCTATACCATGTTTTTATCCTAGAAAAAAGTGAATTCCTCTTAACTCTTGCTATTTCTAGTTGGTTAACAATTTGATAAAGTAAACTCAAATATCTAGCCAGACATTTTAAAGAAGATTGTTATAGAAATGTGTGTATAAAAGCAGTGCTGTCTAATAAAACTTTCTACAATGAAAATGCTCTAGAGATGCATTGTCCAATATTGTAGCCACTAGCCACATGTGAATACTGAGTACCTGAAATGTGCCAAGTGCAACTGAGGAAATGAATTTTTTATTTTAATTAATTTAAATTTAAATAGCCACATGCAGTTAGTGGCTACTATATTAGACAATGTGGCTATGGAGGCATAAATGAGAATGATTATTCCTAATCTACTTACTGAATGAGACCCCCCTGACTAAGTGCCTCATCAAACCTAATCCTGTTATTATTCTACAGATGGGAAACAGGACCCAAGAAAAATCTAAATCACTTCCCCATAGTTAGTGACATTGCCAGACTCCTGATCCAGTGTTCTTTCTATAATCTTTACCTATATGCTGTCATTAATTTAAAAATGATACATGTATGTAAGCTTAAATAACATGTAAATACAAAAGAGTTGAAATCTTCCAGAATCATCACTATTTCCATTTAAAGATAACCAATCATTTATAAAATTGAAACAATATACTGGGAAGTACCTACCACAGTTAGTGGCACGTAGGGGGCATTTCATAAATAGAAGTTCTTTACAAAGTTCAAAGCAATATATAAATATATTGTGTTTATATTACTATTCTAGTTGCATCTTAAGACTGTTTTAGAATGTGGTGCATTGGATTATATCATAGATACAGGCAACTTAACCAAATTCCTTACATGCTCAAGGAAATCAAGGAAAAGGGGACACTTGGCCAATAAACAGATACAAAAGAACAGAAAGAAGGTTCTCCAGAATCCAGTTTCCAGAAATCTTTTCTCTATAATCACTTCCTAGGTTACCTCATCCAGTTTCATGGCTTTAAATACCATCTGTCAAACTGCCTACTTGACATCAGTACTTCATGTCTAATATGCATCTCAAATCAACACAAACAAAATTGAATTCTGGATTTCCTCTCTAACTCCCTGTCCAGAAAAATCTGTTCTTTCCTCAGTCTTCCCCATATGACCAGTATATGAAAATTCAATTTTTGCAGCTGCTTAGGACAAAACACTCGGTCATTCTCTCTCACATCCCATATCCAACCCATTAAACTATCAGCTCTACCTTGAAAGTTTTTCAAAATCTTTCCACTTCTCATTACTTACATGCACTGCCACTACACTGGTCCGAGCCACTCACCTGGACTACTTTAATAATCTCCTATCTTCTCCCTGTCATGTTCTCTCTTCCCTATCGTCTATTCTCCCGACAGCTGCCAGTCATCTTAAAATACAGTAGATCTTCCACATGCTTAAAATGGTCAAGTGGCTTTCCAAAATCCTGATTCTGGTTTACAAGGCTCTACATCAACTGCTCTGTGTTCTTTTTCTACAACCTTATCTCCTACTATTTTTCCTCTTTTACTTTGCTGTAGCCACAACTGGCCTCCTAGCTGTTGAGTGCCCTAGACACACACTCACTTCACTGGCTACATGATGTTACCTCTCTCAGATTTCCACATGACTTACTCTGTTAATTCCTTCACAGAGGCCCTTTTTTGACCACTCTGTATACAAAACAGCAACCAGTCCTCCACTCCCAACACCTCCCCAATCCTTGGCACTTCTATCCTCCACATTTTCCTTCTACACTATTTACTACCAGCTAATATGCATGCAAAAACACACACAAATATTTACCTTTCTCCACTACAATCCAAATTTCTGAGGGGACAAACTTTGTTTTGTTCATTACTATCCAAAACCTATAACAGCTTAAGGCACTCAGTAAATACTTATTAAATAAATTGATAGTGAGGCAGAAAGCAAGAGAATGACAGAAAAGGTGCATATGAGCACCAGATACAATTTAACTAAATCAAAATGTCCACTGGTCCATTCAATGAATATCTGTCCCGAGATGGAATACATTAATCTACTCTTCCCTTAGCTGGACACAAGTCTTGCATGTCTCTCTTATATATGTATGCATTTCAATGTGCTAAGGGTAATAAAGATACAGTATATTTTTTAATAACATGATGTTCAACCAATGAAATAGCATTCTATTCCAAGGGTAAAAAAAAATTATTTGTGTTAAATTTTTTGATAAGCATACTACATTGTTTGGGAGACTTCAGGAATTTAAGGGTAATTCAGACTATATATAATTTCTGCCTTTAGACCTAATACCAATGTGAAATCTGATTCAGAGCAGTAGAAGCTTAAGCTCTGAAGTCAAATTTTAACTCTGCTTTTTACTAGGTAATGTGACACTGAGTAAGTTACTTTTTCTAAAACTTTGCTTCTTCATTTGTAAGATAGGAAATAATAATAAACACAGGGTGATGGTGAGGCTTCAACACAATACAGGGAAAGCACCTGCTAATGCCATAAGGTTAGTGACTGCATATGTAAACTGCCTATTATTTTACAGATCTAATGCACATCTGAATCACTTTCATTGTTTCTTCAAAGTAAGCTCTAAAATCATGCAAGACTTCATAATATATCCGCTTAAGGGAAAGTTACAACTAAAGTCTTCAAAAACAATAAAATGAGCCATAGTCAACAATTCTTACTCTCTAATATTGCACTATTAGTGCCATGTCAATTACAAGTTTATAATCCTGCTCATGGTTTTCCAGTCTTTTGTAAATAATTATAGAACTGTAAATAACGTGAAAGATGCCTGATGATCCTTCTTATTAATAGGTTTTCCCCTCTTTACTGTTGTCTGTCTACCTACTAGGTACTCCATACAAACAAAAAAGAAAATCGGGCACCCGTGGCAAGACATAAAACTCAGAGTATAAAAACTGATTACTAATCACACAGCCCACATAGTGGGCCCATACATCTCTTTCATAATTGTTATTCTCCCCACATCTACATCTCATTCTGGAGACCAGTAAAGCATATGGAAAAAATTACGTTAAAAGCCCCATAATGAAACAGAACTACTGTTTTTACTTCATTCTCCCTTTCAAAATTAAAGTCCGAAGATGAAATATAGAATGAGAAGAAGAGTGTTTCCCAAACTCTGTTCCTCAAGAAATGTTAATAGGTATTGTACAAAAAAGGGTTCAATGGCCAAACAAGTTTAAGGAATAACATGCCTTATACATCCCTTGCTTGGAGATTTACAATGTCAGTTAGTATATTAAAAGCTCTGAGAAGTCCTGTTTTAAAAAACAAACAAAACTGTTCAATTTTGTAAATCTAGGCATTTACCAAATTTATTTACCAGTAACAATTTGGGGGGGGAACACCTATTAACACCTGATGGAACATTGTTGGGGAAACCTAGAAAAGAAAGATATTGTCAGAATTTCTCAAGGATGTATAGAACCTCAGTCACAACACAGGTGATTATAAATTCATTTGGAGATTCTACTTTTATGATCTTTTCTCAATTAAAAACTACAAGTAGATTTCATGATTATCTAATGACTGGAACTGAAAACAAAGCGTGCATCAATGCTGAGTATGTTGGCATGCCAATTTAATCAGTAAGAAAATGTAATGAGCTGAATTAGTGATGTGGCAAAATGTGATTACATTCGGTAAATCCACTGACTTCTGGTGTTGGCAAAGGCACTGTTGTTGCTCTTCTGAGCACTTAAAAATAGGATCAGTGTTACATAAAAGTTTTCAGTCCAAACAAAGCATGGTTTAACTGATTCAGGAAAGGAACCAGTAAGTATAACATCAGAATTCAAGAGAAGATTAGAGGCACCAATACTGGATTCCAAAAGTTACATAGCAGAACTGGCAGAAGTCATCCACAAACAAGTTACAACTTAAATACAGTTCTTTGGCAGAGTTCATATATTGAGCAGTAAGTGTCATTATTATTTATCACTGGCAGCTATAAAAGGGCACTCCTAGTCAATGATGACAACATGTTTTCTCATAAGGAGACTAGAGTAGGAAAAAAGTTTGAGGAGAAAGAGGAAAACAAGATTATGAGTCCTCAAAATCTTCCTTTCTCAATTCAAGCTCATCTTTTCCCCTGCTCCTAATAACTACCTTTAAAATCATTCCCTACCCTCTCTTAGACCCTGAAATACCTGATCTTTTGGATATTCCACCTATATTTCCTTTTTTCTGTCAATCATAGCTTTCCTATTTCTATCTTTCTTTCAGAATTTTCATTTATGAGCCACAACATCACCAGAAAAGCAAGGAAAAGAAGTGGAAGTTTCACAGCTGATTTAGCACAAATTTCAAATTAATCATGTCATTTGTGGTAATGCTACTTTCCTTATAGAACAAATCTAACCAGTGGTCTAAGTTATAATCTATGTTTTTAATAAAACAACATGAACAAATAAGAATTGGTAAATCTCACCTGATGCTTCATATAATGATGCATATAGGGTGTTGCAATTTTAATAACTTTGAGGCAAAAGGGACATAGCAAGTTCTTAGTGTTTTCATGGGAGGTTCTAAAATGAGTTTCTACATCAGAAAATGATGATGATCTATAATTGCATACCTAAAAATAAAAAAGTTACATGTAACTTGAAAATTTATGATATGCAATTACAAAGGAATAATGATAGGTCATTTGTTTAGAAGAACACATATGTACCACTAATTTGCCTCTGACACCTACACAACCAAGAATCCCATTAATGCTGGCACCCAAAGATAATCTTTGAGACAGAAAAGTTATCTTTCAAAATTTAGGGAAAAGTTCTAAAACTAGATAACTAGATTCCCTTTTCTCAGATCTTTTGATTTATCACCCCCTATCTCGACTTGAATTTTCAAACTCTGATACCTCTTGTCCTATAAAGTTTTTTTCTTCTACATAAAATATCATCCTCACCATCCTCTTTTATATTATAAATGCCAGATTATGGTAGTGGCAACTTATTATCTTGCTTTCCCATTTCTTCAAATGCTTGAAAAATACTAGTCCCAAAGTATTTGGTAGGGTCCTCTGTAACAGAAAGCATATCTTATATACCTTGTATGACTACATTCCTAGTGATATGTGATATGACAAGTCTGTATGTTTGTCTTTCTGTCACAGGGCTTTTCTTTGTCCAGCACAGGGGTGAGCAAACAATGGCCTATAGGCCAATTCTCTGCTGACCTTACATACAATGTATGAGTTATGCCAAGGGACTTTCCACTAATAAATTATTTACAAGGGGATTTTAATAACCAATTTTATCTAGATGTTAGAAAAATAAACATGACATATGAAAATTACATGAAATCCAAAATTTCAGTATTCATAAAAAGTTTTATTGTTAACTGCCAGAGCCCATTCATTTACTTACTGTCTACAGCTGCCTTTGTGCTACAATGGCAGTGTTAATTAGTGCAAAAGAGACCATATGACACTCAAAGATTGAATATTTACTACTTGGCCCTTTAACAGGAAAAAATTTGCTGATCCCTGGTCCAATAGGTTTAAATCTTGTTACCAAAACAACACAAAACAAACCAAACAAACACTACACAATAAAATATGTGTATACCTGGCAAATATATGGCATTTCACCGGGTTTATGATTGTCCTTCATATGTTGTAAAAGAATATGCTCTGTTTCAAATGATAATTCACATATTTTGCAAATGGCTAAAAGTAGGGGAGGGGGAAAGACATTACACCATTTTAAGATATACATATATATATATATATCTAATATATACACACTACACAAACATCGAATCATTATGTTGTACACGTGAAACTAATAAAATGCTGTATGTCAATTATACCTCAATTTTAAAAAATGCATTCTGATGGGGCTAACAAAAAAAGATACATACACACATACATATAATTTCACTTTACACATCTATATCAGCATGACAATAATAGTGCTACTGGAGGTGGTTAACAGTTATATAGTTAATTGTACCAAGCACAGTTTTAAGCTCTAAGTTGTAAATTAACTAAATTTCCACAACAACATTACAATAAATAACTTGCCTGAGATCACATAGCTGTATTAAGAGGCACAACTGGAATCTGAACCCAAGCTGTCTAGCCTCCAAAATCTGTGATTCTGAACTACCATTGTAGTTACTTTTCTTATTCAATTTTAAATGAAGGGCGATTTCATATTTGAAAACGGTGATCTAAGGCTTCTAATACAGTTGCCCACCTAAGTTATTTGCCTTAATGAATTATTTACAAGAGGGACTTCAATTTTAGTTACTTAAAAGTTTTTATAACTTAAAACTTACCTTTTTTAATTTTGATCTCAAATTCCAAAGTTTTTTTCCTATTTTCCTAATAGGCTTCTTAAGGTTTTCTTAGTGTTTATATTGTCAAAACCAATAATACCCAATACTTAAATGAAATTGTAACTTACTAGAGAACTCATGGGGTGTGTGTGTGCTTTCAATGTGACACTGCAGTTGAAATGGTGTGGGAAACTGACGATAGCAGTGCTGGCAGGTGGTGTGGTTTTCCCAACTCTCACTGCTCTGCTTCTCAAGTTCCAAATGGTGTTTCATGTGGTTCATAAACCTATAAACGATTGTCAACAGGTGCAAAAATTCAGATTCAAAACAAAAATCTCACAAAAAAGTATCTGAATATAAATCCTCAAAATATAGATGTATTAGTCAAAATAAAATCTCAAAAACCCTAAGGTCCTCTAGGAAAGTATGCACTTTCATCACTTTAAATGAATTTGTTTTAAAATAATTCACTGGTGTAATTTATCTGAAATATCACTAATTTGCTCTTAATAATTTCAGATTAAAGTTTTTTTAAAGTATAAAACAGCAGGCTTCTTTTCCTTAGAATTTTTAAATAAAATGCTGAAAGGAAGGAAACCCTACCACCAAAAGCAGCTACAGGGTCATGAGAGAAATCTTCTAAGGCCATGAAGTTATACAATAGATCCCAAATGTTTAAAAGACAAATTACTGGTATTTTTACTTATGTCTTGGTTTCTAAAGGCATGTAATAGCAATTTTAATGCATATAATTACAAGAACCTTTTGTTTTATTTAATGATACCGGTTTACTGTTAACACAGACTGTTCATTTTAACTTGCAGGCTATGCCTTTTCTAGGCAAGGTCCATTTTTCAGTTTTACATTCTGCTATTTCAGCTTCCCTAAAAGGCTTCTTATGAGCAGGAACTATGACCTACAACAATAGAGAGTGCAATATAAATGAGAATAGCTTACTGAAGCTTTTTGCTGATTTTGAAAGTAAAGTTATTCAATCAAAATAACTTTTAGGCTATGTTAACTATTAACAATTTATTCACTTACAGTCCCTAAAGGAAACAATCCCCAAACTCCTAAAGGAAACAATCCTGAAACTAAGTGATAATGTCATCAATCTGGATAGCAATCATCATGAAGGTTATAACTTTTATCTCTTTTTCACACCTTTGAGATATTTATTCTTGTTAGGACAGCCTATGTATGGCATCCTTGAAATATCTTCTTGTCCTCCTTTGGTTTTAACACGAGTTCTACAAACACCTATTAAAAGTCTTAGTCTTGGCAAAATATTTATATATCTTGGCAAAATATTTATATATAGAGAAAAGGTACTGAGTCATTAAACTTTCAGCTCACAATTTTATAAGTGATTAAAGTATATACATATATATATATATAAAATAATCTCTTAACTAGCAAGCTTTCCCTCAATTATTATATGAGCCCCCATCAGGAGCTCATACTACTTAAACCAACAGATGGAAATGTGGGGAAGAGAGAAAGCAAATTTCCTGAAGGATGTTCACAAAATAAAATCTAACTGGTTTTGGTGACACTCAATGTAGGGAAAAAAAAATACCATATCACATATGTTGAGTGGGCTGAGAGTAAAAATCTATCACCTTCCTATCATTCTCTACAATTATCAATTGCCAGTTTTCACTGTTAAGGTAAGACATTATTTAACATATATAGCTTTGTTGGCTATGAAATGTTTATCATCAAGGTTACATTTACTAAACAATCAGTATTTCAAAAATGCTCAATTCCTGGATGTTATCAAATGCTGCTCGCTTTAAATTTCTAAACATCCTAATACTCTAGAACTGTATGACTAGTCTCTGTAAAAACAAAAGTAATTTTCTTATTTTCACATGTTTAATATTAAATGGGCTAATGTTGAAGGAAAAGACAACAACTACTGCTGAAATAACTTCTAATATTATATATATAATATTTAAGCAAGGAACTAATCAATGAACCATATTTCTATGCACTTTACTGTACTTACTGATGTGATTTTTCTGGCATATCTTACTGTTAAAATGTTAAGAAAATGGAAGTAGGTGACAGAGTTCAGTTGTAACACTGTTCAGTGTTATATCACAAAGTACAGTATACTTTCCATTAAACTACTGGGACCATTAGCTACTGATGGCTATTAAAGTTTGATGAAAGGAGATAAAGAAATGTGAAAACTCATATGAAATAACATGTGAAATTTTGAAAACTATAAAGCATTACTATCAATAAAGCATTAATAATTGTTATAGGAGTATATTACTGTGTATTTCAGGGTTTTCTCTATAAAGCTTATTTTTGGATCCAAGAACTCACAGGAAAAAAAATAAATGCTGGGTCCAGATGTAACCTACAGGTGCCTAAGAAAGCTAGTTACAAATAATAGTTATCAAGGGTAAACATAAAAAGATACATATATACAGAAGATATACACACACACACCCGTCACCTAAGGGAAGTACACTGATGCCTGCACTTTACTTTGAAATGAAAAAAGAAAGTGTGAAACAAAAATGAATAGGTATATAATAGAGCAAGTATAGTAAAATGTTAATGGTAGAACCAAGATGATAAGTATTCAAGTGTCCACTGTAAAATTTTTAAAACTTTGTTGAATGTTTGAAAATTTTTATAGTAAAATGGTTGAAAAACAATCTTACCTAATATAAATGTCCAGCTATAGAGCCAAGGAAAAATGTTGTATCTTGTTACTAAGTCATTTACAGGATAACAGCAAGGCCATCTAACTCAAAGATTATAAAGTAGTAATTCCTAATATTTAAAGCATATGCATAAAATGTTCAAAGTTTCACTGGAAAATAAATCTCTAATTTTAAAGGGGTTAATTTTTTAAATCAAAACACATTTTTTTAGAACTGTACTTCTCTAAAGAAGATAGCTTTTCCTTCAAGGTACATGTTCTATAAATTAAAAATATAATTGAAAGATATCAGCATTAAATAAGATTAGAATGCAGTAGTTCTTGTGAAGTGAAGAAAAACAAAATTAAAAGGCAGCTAAAAATGAAAATTATCTTATGAAAATTCCCAGATCACTGACAGTACATGGAAAAGCAGTTAATTTTGCTTTATTTGAAATAAAGTTTGTCCTTTCTTTAATTATCTTAAAAGAACTACAACTAAGTGGATCCAGGAGGGAGTTAACTGTAAAATACAGGAAAGGACAAAAGCTTTTCAACAAGAGAATCTGACTTTATTTTTAGTAGAAAACGGCAAAATTGCTTATCTAGAATGACACAGATTAATTTAAAATAAAGATACATTTGTATCTGTAACATCCCAAATTTCAAAAGAAATGAAAATAAGTATTTACATACCTAATATTATTTTTAAGAATTTTCAAGCAACTGAAGCATTTAAAGGTTGTATGAGTCTTCTGTTCTTCCTTGACATCTCCTCCATGTTTTCCATAATAAAAGTCATTAACTAACATGATTAATTTTCCTTTCTCTGAATCAGTAGTCTTATTTTTATTTGCTGTACTTGAAAATTCTATTTTGGCCAGTCCCATAAAGTTATTTATCAAGTCTGGACAACAGTACTGGAAGAGAGAAAAATAGAAGACTTATTTATCCCTTAAAAAAATTAGATACCAAAAAACTATTCTGTGTTTATAACTAAGGCCAGACCATGTAAAACTATGCTTGTTAATATATTTGGAAAAATATTCACCGAAAGTGTGTGATGTATATATATATTCTAAAGAATTCAAACAATATACATCTATTATCATAATAAACAAAACAAAAATTAAAAAAGAATAAAAATTTAAGACTAGGACCTAGTTGATCTAGTGATTTATTCCTTGCAATTTACCTTTTCAGATGTAAATATTTAATAATAATTTAGGTACTAAATTAACTAAACTGAAAAGCATTCATTTCATATGCATGTGAATACAGAGTACAGAAGGGAAATGTACTTTCATATGCCATAATGGATATGTTCAATTATAAAGTGATATACTAAATTTCATAATATCTGGTTGGGACTGGACACTGAGGACAACAGCTAACCTGCCATTCCCCAGACTCAAGGTGCAAGAAAATGTATGGGGAAAAAAGAAAGAAGTATCAGTTATATTTTGAAAACTTTAGCAGTTACATCTTGAAATTTAGAATGCTTGAATATTTGATGGGGAAATTTAGTTCTTCATGAGAAAATCGAGATGTCACATAAACAGTTTCAAATGTGGAATACTTTCATACACAGGCTTTTTTTCACCCCAATTTATTCATTTATTGTACATAATCTTCAGTTGTAGAATTTCTTTAGGGCAATTTTTCTCAAAGGCAATCCACAGAAGAATCGTGTCAGAAAAACCAGAAATGATTGTCAAAATCCTGATTTCTTGGGCTCACTTTGGAACATAAACCACAGTGTCCAAAAGTAGGGTCCAGAAATCTGTGCTTTTTAACAAGCCATCCAAGTAATTCTTTCACAACATAAACCAGCTGACTTAAACTCTTTCCAAATGTATTATTTAGTAAGTTAGGAGCAATATAATAAAGTCTGAAAATCTAAATACAACTATATTCCATTTCTAAGATAACATCTACTTCCTCTCCTGGCACACTGAAATGTTAGATCATTGGTGAAACTTTCTGTGTCACATGGGAAGCTAGGTCTTTGATTCAAGCAGACCTGTAACATTTCCTTCAGTTGCACTTATTTTGTTCACTTGTCAGTTTTGAAACCTATAAAGGAAAAACACACATTTCTCCCGAAAAAAATCTAAAATGGATCCAAAAGAGAGGGGAAAATACTGAATAAAATGAACCCACAAAAAAGTGACATAATTTGCCTTTACAAGTTAAGGAGTAAGGTTTCACCTGTAAGCTAAATTAGGATCAATATATTATGTCTCTAGTACTACATGAATCTCTGAAGTCTATCACTCAGAATCTGTATTTACAGGTGAAGCTACAAAAAAAAGAGGAAAATGAGAAAGATTTTGCTGTATATGTTTCTAGATCCTTCTTGAGGCATATATAAATATTTAAGAGCTCAAACTTAGGAAAGTCAGACTGTTTCTAAGTATTTTTACAAGGTTAACTTGTAAAAAATGCTGGTCTTGGATGAATGGATAAATAAACAAAAGGATGGCTCAGAGTAAATTCACCCACACTATTAGAAAACAACTCAAAATATGTCTTACTACAAATGATGTGTATCAGTACGATTATTTTGATAAACAAAATGCCTCACTTTATCTGCAGTTTTACTATAGGGATGATCTCAAACAACAATGGGAAAAAATTAAAATGCACAAAATGATGTAATATACAACAGTCTCCCTAATTAGAAACATGGATAGTCTACTATAATGAAACATTAAATCTGGCTCTCAGATTCTGAGTCATATTTGAGACGATTCTTTTCTGAAACCTACAAAATAACCTAAGTAATCTACAGTACAATTTGTTGCAAGGTTACATTTTTCAGAACTGTCTCATATGGTACATATGTAAAAATTAAAGATAACCTAAATACTAAAAAATTATGATGTGCATAGCAGATGACCAATTGCTTGCTGTTCTTCCATTTTCTTTTTTACAGAAAAGATAGGATCAGATTTTAAAAACAAACATACAAATCTCTTGAACAATGATTCAGATCCCCAGAAATAGTTGAATGATAAACCACTAACAACCAAAATGGACAAGACGGTGTACTGAACTAGGTTGGGGATTTAGTAATTGAGAGGAAAGCAAAGAATTGTACAGAAAATACCCAGAAGACAAGAAAGCAACTTAAGAAATGAGAACTAGCCTTAGACTTAAAGTTTTATAGAAGGACAAAGAAAGTTATGGATGGCATGGCTGAGTCTGATCCAAGATCAAGATCATGTCACTGTAAAATTATCAATCTTCCAAAATAAAGAATCCTTTAGACAGTGAGGCAAAATTATCAAATTGTTTATAAACGGCAAAATAGTTCAGGTTTATTGCTGACTTCTCAATTCTGTAAAACAGGTGCCCCACCAACAACATCCTCCAAGTGGGATCCAATTTACTTCTATCTGGCCAAACTGACTTTCAAGAATGGATAATGGTCAAACTGTTCTGAACATGAAAGAATTCAAAGAATGCAGTTCCCAGACCCTTTTCAAAGAAATTACTAGAAGATAAACTTCAGCCAAACAAGAGGTAAACAAAGAAACCATGACAAAAAGACTAGTGGGGAACACTGAGTATATTTACTGTAACACTGAGCATTACAACAAATGTGTACATAAGGTTAAAAAACTGAATTCAAATGTTTCTGCCCTGACAACAGAAAATGATACAACCAACAAATAAAAACTAGGAGAGGTAAAAAGACAGTGACTATGAGGCCAAGAAAATTCATAGACTGCCTCAGATATGCTAGCAACACATCAGAATATCATTTAGAGCTACTAAATAAAGAAGTATAGGTATGAGCATTTTTAATAGTACAAAAGTAAACACTGAGAAAGATAACACTGATTAAAATCAGGCAGGAATGGTAAAGGTAAAGATAGGTGGGTTAAGAACAGGGAATTTAATACTACTGCAATCAGAAATGAACAAAGGTGTACAGGACTACTGGATTTATATTAACATGAAAATTATAAGAATAAACAGGAAAATGAAAATACAACTTCCCTAAAAATCCAAGCTACATACATACAAAGCAACCACAGCGAAACTTAAAGAAAAAAAAAGCTGGAAAACCTAGAAGAAATGGACAACTTCCTAGAAAAATACAACCTTCTAAGACTAACCAAGGAAGAAACAGAAAATCTAAACAGACCAATTACCAGCAACGAAATTGAACCGGTTATCAAAAAACTACCCAAGAACAAAACCCCCATGCCAGAAGGATTCACCGCTGAACTTTATCAGACATAGAGAGAGAGAAGACATAATACCCTTTCTCCTTAAAGATTTCCAAAAAATAGAAGAGGAGGGTATACCTCCAAACTCATTCTATGAAGCCAGCATGAACACTGATACAAAAATACTCAACAAAATATTAGCAAACCAAATTCAAAAATACATCAAGAGGATCATACACCATGACCAAGTGGGATTTATCTCAGGGAAACAAGGATGGTACATTTGAAAATCCATCAATATCATCCACCACATCAACCAAAAGAAGGACAAAAACCACATGATCATCTCCAAAGATGCTGATAAAGTATTCGACAAAATTTAACATCCATTCATGATAAAAACTCTTAACAAAATGTGTATAGAGGGCAAGTACCTCAACATAATAAAGGCTATATATGACAAACCCACAGCCAACATCATACTTAGCAGCGAGAAACTGAAAGCTTTTCCTTTAAGATTGGGAACAAGACAGGGATGCCCACTCTCCTCACTGTTACTCAACATAGTTCTGGAGGTCCTAGCCACGGCAAGAAGACAGCACAAAGAAATAAAAGGCATCCAAATTGGTAAAGAAGAAGTCAAACTGTCACTGTTTGCAGATGACATGATATTGTACATAAAAAAAAACCCTAAACACTCCACTCCAAAACTACTAGAACTAATATCTGAATTCAGCAAAGTTGCAGGATTCAAAATTAATACACAGAAATCTGTTGCTTTCCTATACACTAACGATGAACTAGCAGAAAGAGAAATCAAGAAAACAATTCCATTCACAATTTCATCAGAAAGAATAAAATTTCTCAGAATAAACCTAACCAAGCAAGTGAAAGACCTATATCCTGAAAACGACAAGACACTCTTAAGAGAAATTAAAGAGGACATGAACAAATGGAAACTCATCCCATGCTCTTGTTTACGAAGAATTAATATTGTCAAAATGGCCATCCTGCCTAAAGCAATCTACAGATTCAATGCAATGCCTATCAAAATATCAACAGCATACTTCAAGGAACTGGAACAAATAGTTTTAAAATTCATATGGAACCAAAAAGACCCTGAATAGCTAAAGCAATCCTGAGAAAGAAGAACAAAGCAGGAGGGATCTCGCTTCCCAAATTCAAGCTCTACTACAAAGCCACAGTAATTAAAACAATTTGGTACTGGCACAAGAATAGAGCCACAGACCAGTGGAACAGAATAGAGAGTCCAGATATTAACCCAAACATATATTGTCAATTAATATACAATAAAGGAGCCATGGACATACAATGGGGAAATGACAGCCTCTTCAACAGCTGGTGTTGGCAAAACTGGACAGCTACATGTAAGAGAATGAAACTGGATCATTGTCTAACCCCATAAACAAAAGCAAATTCGAAATGGACCAAAGACCTGAATGTAAGTCATGAAACCATAAAACTCTTAGGAAAAAACATAGGCAAAAATCTCTTGGATATAAACATGAGCGACTTCTTCATGAACCTATCTCCCTGGGCAAGGGAAGCAAAAGCAAAAATGAGCAAGTGGGACTATATCAAGCTGTAAAGCTTCTGTACAGCAAAGGACACCATCAATAGAACAAAAAGGTACCCTACAGTATTGGAGAATATATTCATAAATGACAGATCCGATAAAGGGTTGACATCCAAAATATATAAAGAGCTCATGCACCTAACAAACAAAAAGCAAATAATATAATAAAAAAATGGACAGAGGAGCTGAAAAGACAGTTCTCCAAAGAAGAAATTCAGATGGCCAACAGACACATAAAAAGATGCTCCACATCGCTAGTTATCAGAGAAATGCAAATTAAAACCACAATGAGATATATCACCTTACACCAGTAAGGATGGCTACCATCCAAAAGAGACAAAAACAAATGTTGGCGAGCTTGTGGAGAAAGGGAAACCCTCCTACACTGCTGGTGGGAATGTAAGCTAGTTCAACCATTGTGGAAAGCAGTATGGAGGTTCCTCAAAATGCTCAAAATAGAAATACCATTTGACCCAGGAATTCCAGTTTTAGGAATTTACCGTAAGAATGCAGCAGCCCAGTTTGAAAAAGACAGATGCACCCCTATGTTTATCGCAGCACTATTTACAATAGCCAAGAAATGAAAGCAACCTAAGTATCCATCAGTAGATGAATGGATAAAGAAGATGTGGTACATATATACAATCGAATATTATTCAGCCATAAGAGGAAAACAAATCCTACCATTTGCAACAACATGGATGGAGCTAGAGGGTATTATGCTCAGTGAAATAAGCCAGGTGGAAAGACAAATACCAAATGATTTCACTAATATGTGGAGTATAAGAACAATGAAAAACTGAAGGAACAAAACAGCAGCAGAATCACAGAACCCAAGAATGGGCTAACAGTTACCAATGGGAAAGGAACTGGAGAGAATGGGAGGGAAAGGAGGGATAAGGGTGGGGAAAAAGAAAGGTGGTATTACGATTAGCATGTATAATGTTCGGGGGGGTCATGGGGAGGGCTGTGCAACAGAGAAGACAAGTAATGATTCTACAGCATCTTACTACACTGATGGACAGTGATTGTAATGGGATTTGTGGGGGGGGACTTGGTGAAGGGGGGACCCTAGTAAACATAATGTTCTTTATGTAATTGTAGATTAATGATAACAAAATAAATAAATAAATAAAAAATAAATGGGCACAGGATCTGAACAGACAGTTCTCCAAGGAAGAAATTCAGATGGCCAACAGACACATGAAAAGATGCTCCACATCGCTAGTCATCAGAGAAATGCAAATTAAAACCACAATGAGATCACCTCACACCAGTAAGGATCGCCACCATCCAAAAGACAAACAACAACAAATGTTGGCAAGGATGTGGAGAAGGGGGGAACCCTCCTACACTGCTGGTGGGAATGTAAATTAATTCAACCATGGTTGAAAGCAGTATGGAGATTCCTCAAAAAACTCAAAATAGAGATACCATTTGACCGAGGAATTCCACTCATAGGAATTTACCCTGAGAATGCAACAGCCCAGTTTCAAAAAGACATTTGGACCCCTATGTTTATCGCAGCACTATTTACAATAGCCAAGATATGGAAGCAACCTAAGTGTCCATCAGTAGATGAATGGATAAAGAAGATGTGATACAATGGAATATTATTCAACTATAAGAAAACAAATCCTACCATTTGCAACAACATGGATGGAGCTAGAGGCTATTATGCTCAGTGAAATAAGCCAGGCAGAGAAAGGCAAGTATCAAATGATTTCACTCATCTGTGGAGTATAAGAACAAAGAAAAAAACTGAAGGAACAAAATGGCAGCAGACTCACAGAACCCAAGAATGGACAAACAGTTACCAAAGCAAAAGGGACTGGGGAGGATGGGTGGGAAGGGAGGCATAAGGGGAAAAAAAGGGGGGCATTACTATTAGCAGACCTAATGTGGCAGGGTGCGTAGGGGGAGGGTTGTACAACACAGAGAAGACAAGTAGTGATTCTATAGCATCTTACTGCGCTGATGGACAGTGACTGTAATGAGGTATGTGGGGGGGACTTGGTGATGGGGGAGTCTAGTGAATATATTGTTCCTCATGTAACTGTAGATTAATGATTCCAAAAAAAAAAGAAAGAACCAAGACAAATAAATGTATCACATCAATGAATACAAAGAAGTTTAACTCAATATTGAAACAAGGCATTTTCACAAAGGACAAAACAACCCTGCTTAAAAAAGCAAGAGGCATCCTTAAAGTGATTCAGAAGGATTGAAAATAAAAGACAAAAGTATAGGCAAATCGAAACCTATTTGAAGTAGGATGTTTTGGTAAAAATGAACTTTCATTCACACCTACAATGATTTAAATAGTAGGAAAAATATTTGTAAGCAAGTCAGAAAACTTCTTACAACTAAGAAAACAAAGGCTGTGAGTCTAAAAGCCATTAAACATTAAGACAAAAAAGGACATTTTATAGAAATGTTAAAGGATACATTCACAATATAGTTTTAAGAATTAGATTAATCTATGTCATACACAACAGCAACAATCTTAAAACAGAATTGTGATATATCAAAGAAAATAGTGGTGATGAAAAATGTGGATTGAGATGTGTTTCTCAATTCATGACAGATCAAGTACACAAAAAATAAGAGAAGATAAGGGAATATAAATAATGTCATTAATAAGCTAGCTCTGGTTGATAAATATCAAATTCCATACACTAAAAAAGAAATAATATACCTATTTTCAAGTTTCCATGTAACATTAAATAACCCATACACTTTTCAAAAAGGAAAAAATGTATTTGTAAGAACTTGGGACTTTCATCATTGAAGAGCTGAATGCAAATTATGCCAATAAACTGGGTGTAAAAACAATAATAAAAATGTCTACCTCAATGTTCTAAGGATTAAATGAAATAATGTATTTAAAGTTTAATAGTTTGGCACATGTCTCAGATATCTGACTTATATTTTAGGTAGTCTTCCTTGAACGAAAACATTATTCTGGTACAGTCATCTAACTTATCTATAACAGCAAAAAAATCGTTTACAAATACTCTAAAAATCACATTTTTTTCTAAATGGAAATCATTATTATAATACTAAAACTTTAACTAATATGTAAAATGTATAAAATAGAATGTGAAGATTCTACATGGTTTTAAACTTCCCTGTCCTAGAACTGTTGACTATTCTGTCAGTTTTCTTATGATGTAAACACATATAAGCTACTTATATTATACTCAACTTAGTTTAATTATGTCTTAGAGATCTTCCCATATCATTATCTATCACAGAGAGTCTGTCCTTTTAAAAAATACTGCATAGTGTTCGATTACGGAAATACTGTACCAAGTTTTGGTTGTTTCTTTTAGAAGTGATCACAAACAATGCTGTATCTTGGAAGTAAAATTACATTTTGGAAAATGTTTGCCAGTTTCCTCACTAAGGAAGTACATATAATATGCTATAACTGGTATATAAAATGGGAAAGAAATAAGAATATTATTTGTGTTTACCTATAGGGAGAAAGAAAATCGGGGGAGATACCAAAAAAAGCTATTAAAAATTACTTTCTTTGAGAATCAGACTGAGAACCAGGTAAGTAAGAGAGAGAGAGGTAGTAAGATTTTTCACTTGTATGCCTTTGTAAACTTTTAAAATTTGAATCGTATGACTGTATTGTCTACTCAAATAATTAAATAGAGTTAACTACAGAATTTAGCTCTTTTTTTTCTCTCCATCCAAAATGCCAAACATAAAATACATCAAGTATCTCCTCAAAACATTACATAGATAAAAAACCTGAAAGCACTTGTATAGGTTAATTCTCACATAACACAAAGTAGTTCTCAGGGACTACTCTCTGGGAGCTGACAGCTGAAAATGATAGACCAGTAATAGTTTTGTACATGAATAAAGAGATTGTATTTGAAATTTGAAAAAAGTTCCCTTATTCTACCTTTTTTGGTAAAGCGTTGAATTTCAATAAAAATTTGTCAATCTTTGCAATAGTGAGCAAGAATCTTTCCTTAGTTAGTTCTTTGCCATTGCACCCTTCTCCATCCTTTTCTTCATATAATTTACACTGCCTTTTTTCTTATCTCTTACCCACTTCCTGACATTTATATTGGGCATGTAAGGAGAATATAGGCTATTTCTACATAGACATAACAGGATACTGTAATACCTACTAAAATGTTTTAAGTAAAATTGTTACCTAAGTCTCATATTTTATTTGTACTTTGAAAATTTCTTAAAACCTAATTTCAAGACTTTCCTGTTCCAATAAAAACTTAATTTATTAATATAACAAAACTATTCTGAACTGAGTTAAAACAATTATTTCATGAAATGCTCCATGATTTGGAGTTTGTGTCTGAGTGATGAAAGTTAAATGTAAGTCAGATTTTCACTGTGTAATGAGACATGCACATATTAGCACAGACACAAAAATAAGAGCAGAAGGAGCTGTTATATGAAATATTAAACAAGTAATAAAATGTCTGTTTTTAAAGAAGTTTGAAGTATGGCATACATCTAGTAAATATTCTGATTAATGCATATGAGAATACAATAAGCTACAATGTATATGAATTTAATTTTTAAAGTTTGATGATCCAGAACAAATTTTTAAATCTTATATGAAGATAATCGTTATGAATATAAATTCTTACCTAAATTATTTGGAAATACTAATATAAAAGATTTCTTATCTAAATACTTGGACAAATCATTATTTACTGTAAATCAATCAATATTTTCAGAGATTTGCAAACCTTTTTAAAATTAAATTTTGAAAAAGTTTTACCTTCATGTGATTTTTCAAAGGATCCAAAAGATTAAAATGAATATTGCACTTTGGACAAGCTCTTGGAAAAGGAGTTCCATTTTTAGATTGATTCGATGAGGTATTTGCACCTAAAATAAATTCAAAACACGTATGATTCAAAATTCATCACTTTTTACCACTGATCATTAATTAGAGGTTAAAATTTTTTAATCACTAATAGTTTGAAAACTTACTACAATTTCTGTAATTACATATAACTCCTATATTTCTTTTTACAGTCCACATTTCATATTTACCTTTTGATGGCACAGCCTGGGAAGATGTCACTGAAAGAGTTTTAACTGAAGGAAAGACAGCTGAGGATTTCGTCTCAGAAACACCGTCACTGGGCTTAGGCTTTTTTGGATTAGCACTGTTTACATCAGAAGTAGAAGGACGTTTTGATAAAAATGAACTTTCATTCACACCTACAAGGATTTAAATAGTAGGAACAATATTTGTAAGCGAGTCAGAATATTTCTTACAACTTCTCAAAAAATATGGTGGAGCTAAATTAAATTAAAGGTGGAGCTAAATAAATAAATATAATTATCATAGAAATGAGAATTAATAAAAATTGATGTCATTAAAAGTCAGGGAATATAAAAAAATTACACAAACATCTATTATGGACTATATATATTCAAGTAATTCATAAAATAATCTTTCTGTGCAAGAAAATACTAAATAAGGTTTCAAATAAAGGAATAGATAAATAGCAATCATGAAAGAAGCCAGATCAAAATATCCCAAGCAATAATAAAAAAAAAAAACACAGAGAATAGTCTGAACTAAGTTGCTAGAAATCAATTTTCTCTAGATGGTTAACTGCCTAAGCATTTGTAAAAAAAAATATTATTTATTCCAAAAATTTAGAGAGATGCTTCAGAAGCTTTTTATTTAACAACTTACAATGTCTTACAGAAAGTTCTTTTTCCACACCTAACAAAGAGGTGGTTTACTCTTGGCTTTGGTTATAGTATCCATTTAATCCCTACTTACAAACTGTAACAACTACCTTGAATGACAATTTCTCATTCACCCATATGAAAGGGCTCATAATGAAGGAATTAGTACAATGGTTTTCAAATTACCTTTCCGGGAGCCTAACAGGCTTGACTTAGGGAATATACTGGACATGTCGACAGAGAACTCTACTTTTGCATTTTATTAGGCTTTTGCATAAAATATTGTTTGTATAGGACTTTCATTCCTAAAAGTAATTTTTGTTTGAAAACCATCACCTTAAATTAAAGCTAAAGGATTTTAGTCTTATTCAGAGCATTAGCAAGAGAAATGGGGATATTTAGGCTATACCCAGGCCAGGCAAAAATCCTTTTTGAAAATACACAACTGTACTTGGCAGTAAGGATTCTAAAACTGCACATCATATTTTAATGCTCCCAAATTGTACACTAAAAGTAGAAGTGGTAAATATATTAGGAATATTCCAGGCTTTTAAGTCAGACAGAATAAGTTCAAATTCAGGCTTTATCAAGGACTTAGCTATGTATTCTTGGCTTACTTAAATAATTTCTCTGAGCCTTAGTTTCCTCTCTTGTAAAGTAAGAGTTATAATACCTTATTTTATAGAGCTGTATTAAGATCAAATAAGACAGTACATCTAAAGCACCCAATACAATACTTAACACAGAAAGCATCCAAAAAGAAATGACAGCCATTATCAATACTGAACAAATATTTAATATCTTAAGTTATTTTGAAGAGCACCCAACACAACATCTGGAACACAGAAAGCATTCAATAATAAATGACATTACTAATGAAATATCTTATACCTTAACTTACTTTAGAGGAACAAAATTATTCTAACATATTCATTCACCTATCATATTTAAAAAAGGGGAAACATGCCAAAAAAAAGCATTACATTAGTTGACTCCTTTGTTTCATCTTTTGAAATCACATAAAAATGACTTTGTCCCCATCTTCAAAGCACAAGACTACTGATGACTATCTACAGGTACATGGGAAAGATTTTATGTGATCATTCTTGTGAGGTGCTTGGATTACCTGAAAAGTCTATGAAATGCTACTATTTTATATTAACCATCTGATTCTATAATATATAGCAAGCTGGACATTAAAATATACTGTTTTACTCTAAGGACTTTTTAACTTAAAAAATAAAATGACCATGCATTTAAGAGTTTTAAATTCTAACCCTTTCACTAATTTCTACTGTCTTTGCTTTGTTTCCTACACTCAACAGCTCTACCTCTGCCAGTAAAAAAACTATTTAATAAGAAAAATAAAAATTCTATTTTAATAATATGAAAAAACTGAAGTGTAAAGACTTGTTAAAGACTACAAAAATGTTAAGAATAGAAGTTCAAATCTACTTCCAAATCATCCTACTTACTGTTCAGGCTGAAGTCTTTCTGTAGTAGGAAACCTGGAGAGCAGGAGTCATTGTCCTTACTCCCAAGAAGTTTCAAGAATTCAGACTTTTTCTATTCAAAAGGTCCACTTGTTTTGTAAAACCAGACTTATTTCTTTTGGTTCTTAACCATTTTACTAACTAGATTTTTACAAGTATATAAGTGACACCCCAAAAAGTGAATGTCAACTAAATATTATCTAACTGGAAAAACATTTTAGGCACTAATATTACTATTAAAAAATTGAGGCAGGGTTTGGGAAATTCTCCACACTGATTTGTGAGTAAATAATATAAAAATTCCCCAAAATCTTGTGTATCTCTATCTAGTCAAATATTTGAAATATACCAAAACTGCTAATATACCAAGCATAACTGCCTTGATTACAGGGAATTTACAATTAGGTAAAAGTCTTTCATAGAATACAAATTTATTTCAGGTTAATGAAAAACTTTGTTATAGTACACAACAAAGAACTTTAACTTTTTCAATAGGGAAATATCACTGCTTTATTGGGCTTTACTGAGCACTGATTATACAAATTTATTGCAGCCACTTTATAATAGCATTTTATAATCATACTTAATGATCATATCTAAATCATTTATTGAATAGAAAGACACTAACCCTAATTAAGAAATAACTATAAACATACTTTTTCACACTAGTAGCCAAAGAAACTAATCAATACTTCTCTTAAGAGAGTATTTAGGGTATCAGAGTACTTCTCTAATTTACAGAAATTTAGATTTTTTCAACCCATGTTTAGTGCCAAATGAGAACAAGCTCGAAGTAGATAAGCCTACTTAATTAACAAGAAATAGTCTATTATTAAATAAGATTTTATTTAAAATCTACCCAAGAGAGGCATTCAAGAACTATCAATATCAGTCTGCCTTACATGAAAAACTTAACAAGGCCATATATTTGAAAACAGAAAGTTAATTCCATATGCATATTCATTGTTTATTTTTATAATGTCTTAAAAAAGTGCTAAAACCAACCTGCTATAGAAAGTGTTGATCCCCCTTGGTAATGGGATAATCCTGTATCCTGGGTCAAGTCAAATAGTAACTCTGAAGAATTATTAGATACAACTCGTGATGAGTTTGTTATATAATCCTGTCAAAATATTTCAAAGGAAGAATATTGCATTTATTCAACATAGTTATAATTGGTTCATAAACTTTTATAAAGGTAAATTTAACTGTTTGCCAGTATTATAAGGATAACCTTTGAAAACCCAGCTACTAATAAGCTGTAAGACACAAAGGTAATTATTGCTATCTGCCAAAATTATGATCTACTAAAACTGAAAGCAAGCTGTTATAGCTGACTTATTCCTGACTGGCCAATTAAAATGGGGAGGGTGGGAGGGCAAATACTAGTCTGTTTTTTTCAAGATAAAAGACACAGAAATCTTTTTTTAAATCAGAAATATTGATACCTTTTACAGGGCTAATAAAAAATGCAGTATTCCCATGAAGAAGCAAATAACAGAACTTTGCAAAATCCTTGGGTAAGAGCAAGGAAAAAAACAGGAAAACATACCGACACAAGTACAAATTTAAAAGTTTCTGTACTTCTATAAATCCCACAGACAAAATATCAGGGCAAACAAAATTGAAATCAATCTGCAGTACTGTGCATCAAGGTAGGGATAAATACATGTCATTGAGTTCTGGAATCACCTTTACTGGAAAAATTTATAAGCCAAGGGTCAGGAAGAGTTCTTCCCACCATGCCACAGAAAGTTATACAGGGCCAGACAATCTTACAAGGCAAATATGAAAGCCCCCTGGTCAGCAGGGTGAACAAATAAAAAAGTCAGGCAGACAAGGTTTAGAATAGAAGCTGTTAATAGGAATTGGTCTGGGCTGGCTGCTCAGCTCCTGAAGCCTTAGGGCTGAAGGGAAATTTCAGCCCTTCCATCAGGAGAAAAGATGGTCCCATCTAGGTAGAAAATCTCAAGAAGAAATGAGTGGAAAGTGAGATGAATCAAAATATGGTTAAGTTTAAGGTAGGACAAATTTATATGTCAGTATACATATGTGTTTAGGTACTAATAATTATGAAGTGTGGTCAATTTAAATGTATCCAATACTATTATATATTAAAAATATGGATACACACACAAAAGATATTCATATGCTAATTATAAGACCATCATTGTGGAGAGTAAGCTCTCACAGTGTCTTTTGAACCATTCTATATGTCATAATACATAACAAGCACAAGTTTTAAGATTAACAATCAAAAGGAAAAAAGCACTTTAAGAGAAAAATAGCCAAAGGATATAAAATGAGACATTTCAAAAGCAAAATACAAATGACCAATACATACAAATAACTTTTCCCCAACTTAGAAGTCAAAGAAATGTAAATAAAGATAATGGCAATTTTTAGCTATGGAATTGTCATTGTTTTAAAGACAATTTTATCTAATACAAAATAACTGGCTTCTCCTCTTAAAAGTACCAATGACACAAAAGAAAAAGAATGAGGAGTTAGAAAAATATGCTGCAAGGTGTTAGTTAGTTATTATTAACTAACTCCCAGGATCCTGGGAATGAAAAATGACATTAATGGAAAAACTGGTAAAATTTAAATAGGGTCCACAATTTAGTTAATGTTAATTACCTGATTATGATAAGATGTGAACATTAGAGGAACCTGGGTCAGGGGTATATAGGAACTCTTTGGATTATTTTTCTTAGGAGTCTAGAATTAGTTTGAAATAGAGTAAAAATTTTAAATTAAAAAGTAATGCTAACATTCAGTATTGGCAAGGTAGAGGTTATATATATATATTTTGCTTTTTTTAAAATTGATATACACTCTTATGAAGGTTTCACATGAAAAACAATGTGGATACTACATTCACCCATATTGTCAAGTCCCCTCCATATTTTGGTACAACTTTTCTGCATGAAAATTTTGGCAATAGCTATCAAAGGCTTTATATAAGCTCACATCCTTTGGTCCAACTACTCTACTTTAAAAATCTAGGATAAGGAAATGAAATATTTAATAGGGAATTCCTTTTAATAGCAAAAAAATTAGAATCTACTTGTCCAACAATGGAAGAATACTTAAACTAAATTACAGACTATCATGTAATCACTAATACCATGTTTTTGAGAAATAACCAATGAAATAATCCCAGAAGAATGTTCAGTGAAAAGAAAAAAATACATATCTGAATATACAATATGGTCCTAATTCACACACTCTATTCTGTGTCTAAGAGGAGAAAAAATAAATAAAAACACAGTATGTACTCTTCTCTTTGAAAATTTTCCCCTGAAACTACATATTATTTTAAAATAGAAATATAAAGGTTTACTTTGTTTCGTATTTATTGAGGGATAATTAAGTTTTAACAATTTTGGTTTGCTAATAACTTTCCTATGGGCATAGGTTTAAATTATGGAACCAAAATGGGTAAAGGGAGTCAAAGTTACAAACTTTAAAATAAGTAAGTCATGAGGATGTAATATACAGCATGGAAACTATAGTTACAATACTGCACTGCATACTTGAAAGTTGCTCAGAGTAGATCTGAAAATTTCTCTCAAGAAAAAAATTCTGTACTTATGTATAATGATGGACATTAAAAAGGCTTAAGGGGTGATTATTTTGCAGTATATACAAATACTGAATCATTATGTTGTATACCTGAAACAATTATGCCTCAATAAAAATAACTTTAAAAAATTGAAAAGACATCTGTCTTGGAGAGGATTAAAGATGGCAGCATGGAAGGTGAGACAGAGGCTTCCTCCTAAAACTGCATATAATACAAAAATATAATTAATACAACTAATCCTGAAAGAGCAACAGGAGAGAGGATTGCACCAGACTGCATACACCTGGAGAAAAGAGCAGACCTCACCAAACAGGGTAATGTACCAAAGCTGTGGCCTGGTGGGACCCAAGCCCTTCCCCCACCCCAGCTCACCAGCAGGAGGAAGACAGAGCAGGGAGGGAGTGGAGGCCTGGAACTGCTGAATACCTAACTCAGGAGATCTGCTCTGGGAGCACAAACCTACATTTCACAGTGCTACTCCCGTGATTAGGGGCTTGGAAAGCTAAAACAGGCAGAATTCCGGGAGAGACTGAGATTCCAGCTGCTTGTGGAATGCAGGGATCCATATCCGGCTGCTCTGGGACAAAAGAAAGGCGGTCAGTCTGAGACACTTCCTAACAAGGAAGCCCTTAGCAAGAGGGCTGCTAAAGGGGCAAGGACTGCACAAAGTTTACTGCTCAGGAGAAAGGACAGGTAGACAAAATTATCTGGGTGCACTCTGCCCATCAGGTTGGGAACTTTCACAATCTTCACGTGCTCCAGCTCTCTGGCTGGCTACAGACCTCCAAGTACCTCCTCCGTGATACACAGCTTACTGTGCCTTTCTCCCAGACAGCCCCAACTGGCTCGCAAACCGGCAAACTTTACCCTGGTGTTAGGCCAGCCAGAGGGAAGATCTGTCTACAGCAACTACAAACGCAAAGCAGAGAGGATTATACCTGTGTGCTCGGCCCACTGGTTCAGGCAGTGGAGACAGGCATAGCAGCCAGGAAGAAGGAAAAAGCTCTTTCCTCCCCGCAGGCACCAATACCACTCCCCTGTGACCCCTGACATTGCTTCAGGGGCTGAGCAGCTCTAGAGAGTAGAGCTTCTGGACACTAGAGGGCACCATATTCGAACCTGAAACATCAAAGGAACCTGGTTCAAAGTAAAATTATTAATACAACTCCTGAGAAAGATTTAAATGACATTGACCTCATGAATCTTCCTGAAAGGGAGTTCAAAATAAAAATCATTAACATGCTCATGGAAGTACAGAAAGATATTCAAGAACTCAGGAATGAATTCCGGTCGGAGATTCAACTGTTGAAGAGCACAATGGAGGGTATTAAAAGCAGATTAGATAGGGTGGAGGAGACTATAAATGAAATAAAAACTAGAGAAGAGGAATATAAAGAAGCTGAGTCACAGAGAGAAAAAAGGATCTCTAAGAATGAAAGAATATTGAGAGAACTGTGTGACCAATGCGAATGGAACAATATTCACATTATAGGGGTACCAGAAGAAGAAGAGAGAGAAAAACGGATACGAAGTGTCTTTGTGGAGATAATTGCTGAAAACGTCCCCAGTCTGGGGAAGGAGATAATTTCTCAGGCCATGGAGGTGCCCAGGTCTCCCAACACTAGGGAGCCAAGGCAGACAAGACCAAGACATACAGTAATTAAAATGGCAAAGATCAAGGATAAGGACAGACTATTAAAAGCAGCCAGAAAGAGAAATAATATCACATAAAAAGGCAAGCCCATCAGGCTAACATCAGACTTCTCAGCAGAAACCTTACAGGCCAGAAGGGAGTGGCATGATGTATTTAATGCAATGAAGCAGAAAGGCCTGGAACCAAGATTACTTTATCCGGCAAGATTATCATTTAAATTTGAAGGAGGGATTAAACAATTTCCAGATAAGCAAAAGCTGAGAGAATTTACCTCCCACAAACCACCTCTACAGTGTATTTTGGAGGGACTGCTAGAGATAGAAGTGTTCCTAAGGTTTAATAGCTGTCACCAGAGGTAATAAAACCATAGTAAAGAAAGTAGAACGGCTAATTACTAAGCAAATGAAAAATTAAATTCACTATCCTAAATCGAGGGATAGACAAAGAATACAGAATATGATACCTAATATATAAAGAATGGAGGAGGAAGAAAGAGGATAAAAAAAAAAAGAACCTTTAGATTGTGTTTGTAATAGCATATTAAGTGAGCTAAGTTAGACTCTTAGATAGTAAGGAAGTTAACCTCGAACCTTTGGTAACCATGAATCTAAAGCCTGCAATGGCACTAAGTACACACCTATCGATAACCACCCTAAATGCAAATTGACTGAATGCACCAATCAAAAGACACAGAGTCACTGAATGGATAAAAAAAAACAAGACCCATCTATATGCTGCCCACAAGAGACTAACTTTTAAACCCAAAGACATACACAGACTAACAGTAAAGCGATGGAAACAGATAGTTCATGCAACTAATGGGGAGAAAAAAACAGGAGTTACAGTACTTGTATCAGACAAAATAGACTTCAAAACAAAG